AATGTCTGCTCATGAACGCTTCAAACTCGGTACTTCTTTCCCAATTCCATAAAATTCAAAACTTAGAAAGTGACAAAAAACTTTAAAATAGGTAGTTGAAACAGACTACAGCTAATTTTCATAGTGGACTGTACTATACGATAAACATGTCAGTCAATTTGACAACCTTTGTCGGAAACATTATTCAATGAAAATATTGTCCGAACCCTTAGTATTTCTCTTCGACAAATACATTAACACATCGTGAACCACTTTTCTTTCACGACTATAAAAATATTTTAGCAATTTAATTCACAAAATCAATTGCACACATTTAAAATAAAGTTTGTTTACACTTTGACAACAATAGACTGACATGCAAGGTGACATGTCAATGAAGTTTCCAGTTACTGTTGCCATTAAAAGAAATTAGTACCATTAGTTTTCCGCAACATGGCGAGGGTTTTTATGTTCCTGGTCAGGCTATACCGTGGTTATTGTGTAGGGTTATTGACTTGTATGAAAAAACCTCGTAGCCTAGAATGTTTAAAAGCTCCGTGATCCAGTCACTTCCTTTATTAATTAGACAGTTGGACAAAACGACGCCCGTCCGACCGCCGTGAATTCTAGAGTTCGATTCCCGAGTCAACTTATGAACTTTAGGTAGGCTGAGAATCAAATCCAGAACCGAGTCGAGGAACTTACTGTTCATTATTAAAGTTTCCTGTTACACACCTACTTTAAACATTTAATTTAATTTATTCATATAAGTATACAGGGTGTCCCGTAATGTAACGTCAAGCCGGAACTGGGTGTTGAGGCAAGTTGTGCTGGTTATCAGAAAAATATAAAAAAAAATCTACGTGGCATATTTTAAAAATAATAGGCATTTAAAAAAAATCACAAAATTCTACTCCAGGTGACGGTCCTTTTACTCGTGTTGCCACAAATCTTCACTTTTTCCAAATTTTTTTTTTGTTATGTAACCCTGAATAATGCTTCTCCAAATTGTTATCAAAATTACAAAACCAGCTGCTCCAACTTTTATGAAAAAAATACATTATTCCCAAAAAAATTATTACATTTTTTGTAGGGTTGAGTTTTTCGGCTGACAAGCGGGGTGAAGGGCTCCAAATAACAACACCTTGTGTGATGCAAAAATGGGGTACCTACTTTATTGCAAAGTACGGGGCAGGTACAAAAATGAGGTGCGGGCGTCTCCCGTCCGTAGACCAATTCCCGCAAGGACGTTGGACACAGACGCGGGAGAATCGCTGGCAATTTGTATTTAGGCGTTCGGAAGTCCCATTCTGTGATTCCCCGAAAGAACGTCACAGTCGGATGCAACCTTGGCTTATTACTTACGCCTCATAAAACTTACTTTATTCAACATAATCGTCGGAAGGTCTTTAAGGGAAAAAAAATCTGGACACCGCGGTGTAGAAATCGACTCTCAATGTGCTAGTGGCATCTAGCGGCGAGCGGTGCAAACATTTCCTAGACTGAATAGATCTTGCAATAAGCACGGTGATCCGCGGTGGCTTGGTAATGCAGGCGAACACCACGAGATGGCGCTAGTAGTATTGATTGATAAATGTGACGTTGTTACAACCTCCCCCTCAGATCACGAAGTCGTCCCGATGAGAAGATCTGGATTACGTTCTAGAGACGTCCACGGCCTCGTCGGTGAACAACTGGTTCATCTTTCGTCTCCTTAGACCATCTTCTGATGTTTCGTTTGTTGTAGTAACGATGCTGTGCGCGGCACGATCCTTTTTCTATGCTCAGCGCTTTATGTGAAGCTACGTTACAGGATGTAGGACCAGGTTGCCTTTTAGTCTTACGAGGGTAATTGCAGCTTGGAGAGAATTTGCCTGTGATTCCTCTCGATTCCTTGACTACTGAATGTATATCTGTTAGCACCAAATCTTCATTTTGGTATTCCGGACGACAATGACACTGTTTGTCAATTGTTTCCATAACAACAGGGGTTTCCTTCCCCTCCCCCTGCTCATGAACCACCACTTGCTGGTAGTTAAGGCAGGTTGGTATCGTAGGTACGAATGCATGACGCAATGCTATCCCGAACTGCTTCCAGGTTGTCACTTGCAACTTGACTATTTGCCACCAGACGGCTGCCGCACCTTTCAATAGAAGTGGGACGCCATCAAGAGCTTCCTGGTCTGGGATGTTTTCAATGCACTTGTATAGGTTCACTGCAGCTAAAAATTCTTCGACCACTTCAGTGTTTCTCTCACCGTGAAAGTGGGAATTGCAATGAGTGAAATTTCCTTGCCGACCCGGTGAAATTTCCGCGAGTAGCAGCTGGAACTGTTCATATGCTAAGGTCACCACCATCTTCGACTGCTGCCTATCAGGTCTACCGCTGGTCGCCAGTGTGAAGATACAGGTATGATGACTTGTGCTTCTCAGAGTGACCGTTGAATCGCCAGTGTGCAGATGCAGGTAGGACTAGTGCTTGTCAGGCCCACCGTTGGGACGCCAGTATAAAAGGTGTGAAGTCTCGGCTGACAAGCTTGAGGTGCAGGGTCCAAATAAGAAGGCCAGGGTGTAGCAAAAAGTGTACTTTTACTTCGCAGTACCAGCGTATTATACAAAAATAGTGCGCGTGCGTGCTCCGTCCGTCAACCAATTCCAATCAGGACGTTGGAGACAGACGCGGAGTCGCGGGGCAAATATTCGTAATGCGCCTTCGGAAGTCCCAATCTGCGATTCCCCTAAAGAACGTCACAGTCGGATGCAACCTCAGGTTATTACTTTACTTGCTTACTTTCTTCTTACTTCTTACTATATTCAACATAATCGTCGGAAGGTCTTTAAGGGAAAAAAAATCTGGACACCGCGGTGTAGAAATCGACTCTCAATGTGCTAGTGGCATCTAGCGGCGAGCGGTGCAAACATTTCCTAGACTGAATAGATCTTGCAATAAGCACGGTGATCCGCGGTGGCTTGGTAATGCAGGCGAACACCACGAGATGGCGCTAGTAGTATTGATTGATAAATGTGACGTTGTTACACATTATAATAATAATTTTTAACCAAGGTAAATAAAGTTAAAAACGGGACTATTTCCAAAAATCCAAAAATTGTCGACAATTATAGCAAAAATTTACCAAGTGTTATACCATTTTGGAATCCTTACTAAATGTGACAAATTATGACGTCACTTGCCACACTCGCGTAGAACATTTTTTTTTCAGTACAGTCAGTTTAAACTAGGCAAAATTTTTATTTTGAAATTTTTTTTGAGAAGAATGTATTTTTTTCATCCAAGCTGGAGCAGCTGGTTTTGTAATTTTGATAACAATTTAGAGAAGCATTATTCAGGGTTATATAACAAAAAATTTTTTAAAAAAAAGTGAAGATTTGTGGCAACACGAGCAAAAGGACCGTCACCTGGAGTAGAATTTATTGATTTTTTTTAAATGCCTATTATTTTTAAAATATGCCACATAGATTTTTTTTTATATTTTTCTGATAACCAGCACAACTTGCCTCAACACCCAGTTCCGGCTTGACGTTACATTACGGGACACCCTGTATAAGTAGTACAGTATAGATGAACTACACTGAAATGTCCCACCGACGACATTGACAGCAGGGCGCCACCATCTTCGTGCAACTACATATATGGTTTCCACCGTGGCAAAAGTCGGAACTAGCGTTCCGCTATTGACGGTGGCCCCCCTGTCAGTGTCAAATAAAGGACAGTTCAGTGTAGTTCATCTTTATTCTTGTCTTGGGGGAGGCCTTTGTCTATCAGTGGACGTCATTTGGCTGAAACGAATGAATGAACACGATAACCTGTGACGATTAACATGGGTTAGTAATAGAAAAGAAATTAAAAAGAATCGACGATATAATTGATTTCCTTGGTTCAACCGTTTGTTTCAAAGCAATAGTTACGTGTTGTCTCGCTGCATTGTAGTACGTAATAAGAAATGGTGACCTTTAAACATTTAGTATCATTAATTTATACCATTAACTTTGTAATAAGTGAAAAACGTGACAACAAAACAATTATTAAAGTCAATTTAAACTACACGGGAGAGAAATTTCCCATTCAATTCTTGGATCCAGATCAAGCTAAGTCTACGTTACGAGATCTAAATTTGTATATAAATAATTTACGAAAATCTGTAAAATATTTTGGACGTTTTCCGAATTCAACAGATTGCAATGCTGCCGTATGTTTGTTTTTCTCAAAATGTAAGTGGCGACTGTGCAAAATATACTTAAACGCTTTCATTAAATTAAAAGACACCCGACTAACTTATCTTTTCTTTCGTCAACAAGTAAATTATACCTATGATTGATTTAAATGATTTTTACTTACCTAATTGTTAATTAAAGATGCGTTTAATTTCACAGCACTTTTGAGAAGGACCCTACTTGATTATCGAGGTAAGCTGCAAAGTTCTCATATAGAACATATAAAGCAAATAATAAACGATGCGGAAAATATTGTGTCACATTACATTTATCTCAATGCCTTTTACGATTGGACAGATCTTGAATTCAGGGGTGAGAAAAATGTACCTATTACTTACTTCCCAAGTAGCATTTTACTCCATTTAAGAGTACACATTTAGTTCCAATGTGTACTTAAAGCATTAGTACAGTTCACTCGTGATGTATAAGCTGTATTATTGCAATTAATTACACCTATACCTGTCTAAGGGACTTATAGGAGTGTAGAGTTATACTTTTATACGATTGTTGGTGTTATAATACTCTAATAACTATCCTTTAGTCAGCCGTCTGACTAAGAGCATTATAGGAGGGTAGAGATACGGCAACCGCCGTTGAACGGCCTACTTGTACGATGTTATAGAGCTAGCATTTAAATAGAATACACGTGGTCATTTATAAAGCCAAAGGCTGTTATGTTTACTTGTTTTAGACTGTTATACAGCTAGTAGCTGTAGTAGGACTTGTTTGTGATAGGTAATTAAAATAACCTTTTTTTACTATCTTTACAAAAGTGTTTCAATGGTTCGCATGTGCACTGTAGGCTGTTAAAAGGACTATATGTGTTGTCCATTAACATCAATAGCAGTTTATTTGTGCACAAGTACTACTCTTATTTGTTTAAACTAAACATGAATGTGAATGTGATATTCTATTACACTTTTCCCCAAGCCTGTTTTTAGTTGTTCATGGTGGTTCTGTACATGATGCAGAGGAAAATATTATGCCTGAACCTGAAAGTTCCCTTCAAAATATACAGATATCAGAGTTAGGCCAGTAGAATTAAACACAAAAATTGATTAAATCGGAAATAATTCCTACAAGATTTTTTTGCTTTAATGGCTTCATTGGTTGCCCATTAAGACTCTCCTAAGTTTTCGATTTCGACGGAGTTGTGCTTAAGTGGTGGGGGCCCCCGAAAGCGGCGTTTTTTCGGTTTTCCGGTTATACCGCGTAAAGGACTTACCCTATCGAAAAGTGGTCTTCATGACGGTTAAAGGGCACTTAATCCTGCATTGAATAAGACCAAATTCATATGTTTTGGACAAACCGTTCTCGCGCTAAAGTTCGGCAAAGTAGAAAATGTACGTATAATTAATGACCCTCTCCACGTCCAATGGCTTGTTACCCACATGCTTCCAAGCCTTGTAAAGGGTCGCCTTAACCCTTCATTTGGCAGTGATGCTTTTAAGCAACAGCCACTTTGAATATTTCTACAGCACCAAATAATAAGTTTTGTGCAAATCATTTGATTTTGTTACAAAGCTTAGTTCAGCAAAACACTAGTAAATCGGTCGTCGACTGAGTTTTGAGTGATTTCATATCCATATTTCTGTCAGACGCCAAGATGACGCGCAATGAGAATAACAAAGACGGAAGTTTTATGATTTTGTACTATTTTATCATCTCTAATTGTTTTTGTTTTGTCTAAATTAAATTCACAATAAATCAAACTAATCATATAAAGCAATATTTGGCGTAGAAACTGTGTTTTCTAATACAATACATGCTTCCGAACCTCGATGTTGCCTAGANGGAAGAGGTGCAGCAACCGCAGTTAAGGAATGGCTGGGACGAACAAGGATAGGCGTATCAAGCTCGTAAGCCTTGATAGGGTTACACTGGTTGAGGTGGCCCTTTTCAAGACTTGGAAGCCTGTGGGTAACAAACCATTGGACGTGGAGAGGGTCATTAATTATACGTATATTTTCTACTTTGCCGAACATTAGCGCGAGAACGGTTTGTCCAAAACATATTAATTTGGTCTTATTCAATGCAGGATTAAGTGCCCTTCAACCGTCATGAAGACCACTTTTTAATAGGGTAAGTCCTTTACGCGGTATAACCGGAAAACCGAAAAAATGCCTCTTTCGGGGACCCCCACCACTTAAGCACAACTCCGTCGAAGTCGAAAACTTAGGAGAGTCTTAATGGGCAACCAATGAAGCCATTAAAACAATAAAATCTTTTGTAGGAATTATTTCCGATTTAAAAGCTAATTCTACTGGACTAAGTGTGATGATTGCAGTTCTAGTGATAGTGAATACAATTTTAATTTGGACAATTATTTAACCTTTCGCAAAAAATAAGAACATGGGCTATTGAAAATCGTATTCCTCATTCCGCTTTGAATGAATTGTCAGGCATAATAAACGAATTTAAACCGGGAACACTACCGTCTGATGCTTTAGGTATTCATACTTGACTATTAGTACCTGGGCTAAGCGATTTAACGGACATTAATAATTTTTATTGCGGATCTCTAAAATTTCAGTATTTGAAAGAATTAAATTATTACCTACAAACTATTTTTAAGCAGAGAGAAACTATTTTTAGTGTCCTACTGAGTATTGCTTTTTACAACATTTCAGTATCAAAACTGTTTCAAGACGATACTATTCTGGTAAATAGCATTAGTGAATTCAACAGAAATCGCTTAAATCCCTGGGTCCTAAGTAATGAATTTATGAATGAGCACATCAAAGAAATCGATGAGGGGACTCTACCCAAGGAAAAGTTTGTAGAGTTTGTGCAAGCTATGTCAGAGTACTTTATAAGTTTGGAAGATTCTGGTAAAAATTGTTTTGTTTTCCATTAACAATAAAGTTTATGGGGTGGTTGCTACTTAATTAATTGAAAAACTATATTTACAGATAATTGTATGTCTCAAGTCGCGTTTAACCGAGAGCCATATGATTTTACTTCCACACAACAATGTCTAGTAGACGATTTTTGTGAGCATCGTATACTTTCGCCACCATCTGTTGCTTATTCTTTAAGTCATCGGTAAGACAACACAAAATATCATATTTCTGTAGGTAATTACTCAAAAGCTCGGAGAGTAATTATCTTTGATTCGCACATTCATTTTATCAATAGCTCATCATTTTTCATCTTCTGATTTCATATTTACGTATTAGCTTAACGTGATTGGAATATTTTTCTTGCAGATTGCTCAATATATTTTTTCGCTTGAAAATCAGAAAATGCTATATTAAATCTGAAGAAGCTGACCTTAGAGAAATTGATAAGTTGTGTGCATTTATGTATCGAGAGGCTGTATACCTAGCACGAAGAGGATTTTTCGTCAGGGATCTATTTTTGGAGCATAGTACGTACCTCCTCTGCTTTGTTGCTTACGCCACTGTAGTCTATGAATTATGGGAAAGAGGGTCGTCTCATAGTTAAGCGGATTTTCAAGCTGAAACTGTGAGAAACTTGGTACAAAGATTATTGAGTTAGGTGTTTTTCAGTTTTATTTTTGTCTCAATTTAGCCATTTCGATGTTGATTTTAGATCTACAAAGATAGACAAATAACTAATTCATTTAATTCTTTTCAGTCGCATTGTGTGCAATGATGGGGTATGAGGAGTTTCACCGTAAGCACTGGTTTACTAAAGCACTAAGCTGGGTGAATGAAGAAGGCTGCATGAAAGAATTTCGCAATTTTGAAATTAATCGGACCAGAATAATGCGAAATAAAAATAGATTTAATTATCAAGATAAAAGTACATTCTTGAAATGGCGTTGTAATGTGTTACATTCTCTTTGCGATGACCATCCGAGTGCTCTCTTGATGGTTGTTTTAAGTCATGCTATAAGGCACACAGTGCATTTTATGCTGACGTAGAATTAAGTAGGTCAATCCACGTAAAATGTTCATTTATTAATAGGTACTACGTTATTTCATTTGTCTTTAACTTACAGTTTCATTTTGTGACCTTCCTTACTGACTAACGTTTACTGCTAATGATCAGACACGTTACTAATTTTTCTGCTATAAGAGATGATCGGAAAATTGTTATGATTCTTCGTTGAATAAAATTTCAGTGTTATTATAAGTATAGACATTTATTATCATCATTCAACATTCAATGTAAATATAAAAATAAGTTAATAACAATTAAATAAATAATAATGTAACCTACCTTATTACTTTTTATGATTAAGTTGTGTAGACTACCATTGAAGTGTTAAAATATTATTACTTAGGGAAATATCTTATTTGTCAAAAATTGTGCTTGTTTTGTTGAATTGCAACAAAAGCCCAAGAGGCACACATGAAAAAGTAACCGATTGCAGAAATTACTCATACTTATTTATTGTAAATATAATTCCCTACTAATAAAGTCAACCCATGACATTTCAAACTAATTATTTACTCCAAATTACCTGAAATTACCGTGTCGTCCAAATAATACCTACCTACCAATTAAGGACAAGGCTTATTTAGTAGTTATTATTAAAATCCATAATTCGCATTATTTAAAATTTATTACTGTTTAACTGAGTATCGGAAAACTTAACTAGGATTTAACGTTATAGGCAGTTTATTTTCGTAAAAGTCCCTTAAAAATCAAATCATTGCTAATTCACTAAGAATTGGCATAGATATGGCTTAAGATTCTATTAGATCGAGAGGTGATTCATATTAAAACATACATCAAAAGACATAGATTAAAATTATTCAGAACACTCCTCCTGTTAGCGGTGATTCATCGCTAGCACAATTTATAAACTAGACTTCTAAAAGCTAAAACATGTTTTCTATCGTCTGTAGGGCGCTTTTCGGTATCTGCCGCGCTCTTCTTCATCACGGACGTCCAGGTAATGACTGAATACCACCGCCCAAAGGTACAGGTACACACCTGAAAATAATCATTGGGAATATTAGAAAAATACATAAGTTAAGCAAGTGACGTAATAAGTGGAAATGAGTGTAGAGTCAATACTTTTTATTTACAGAATATTATTTAATACGAGTAACAAAGTTAAAACATTCAGTCTTCAGTAGGTTAGGCCAAGTACAGTACATACAAATTAAGACTGAAATACTGAAATTTCAGATTGAATTTAGCTCCAACATTTCTACTGAAATGGATTTATCATAATAATTCTTTAAAGTTCATCTGCACAGTATACAGGGTGTTAGGTAAATGGGTATATGAGCCGACACTAGCTGGGCTGTTAACGTGGGCATATAAATGATATGGTGAAGTCAGAAATTTGATATCATCATTTTAATTTTTTAAATTTTCATACAAAATAAATATTATAAAATCCGATTTGCATCAAAATTAAAATAATTAAAATGAAGATATCAATTTTTTGACTTCACCATACAATTTATATGCCCACGTTAACACGGGCTAATGTCGGCTCATATACCCATTTACCTAACACCCTGTATAGAACAACAATTAAAGTAGTAGATTGCTGCTAAAGCATCATCATCAATATAAAAATACGTAAAAATTAAGATAAGTAAAAAACTTACATAAATAAATGATTCCTCCCACGAGAATGATCGTGGCCAGTATGTTGTAGTTGTACTTCTCCTCCTCATCGTTGGTGTCGTGGATGTAAAAGGAGATGGAGGTGTGCAGGACGCTGATCAGCAGGCCGATAGCCAGCACGATGCCCAGCACGACCCACGGCAGCATCATCCATGATCTTCTCTGTATTAGTGAAAGAAAATATTAGAGAAATAATAAAATCTTCACAACGCGTATAATATACATAACAAGGCAGTTATTGTAATATACGCCGTATATTGCAATATCTACCTTGTTATACATAATGGAAATCTTTACGATTTCTACAACTGTATGTAAAGTTATTAACAAATTACACAAATAAGAATCGCTTTTCCATTAATTTGCGCCTACGCTACACCTTGACAATAATCTTATTCAAGAGTAGGTGCATACTAGAGCTAGAGTGTTTAATAAGTATGATTTTTTATGTCTGTTGTTTCTATAAACTTGATGATTTTGATTTCAAATTTACTTTAAACTTACCGAAAATGACGTCTGAGATTGCAATTAAAATAAAATATGGACTTAAGTCATGATTGTATTAATGTAAAACATTCAGAGATAGTTGAAAATTATTCTGTTCTTACCTTCTGCACAGCAACAAACAGAAGAATGCAGATCAGGATGGTAAAGCATAAGTTGATAGTTAATATTATTCTCGGAACTGGAAAGAGACAAAAATAGATTTAATATTGCCTGACCAAAACATTAGGTACCTAAAAGTTGGTTAATTATCCAAACATATTGGAAAGTTAATTTTATCAAAATAATCAGAGTCAGGTATATTGACAATAAATAAGCAATTCATTGACACAAAAAAACAATATAAAAGTTTACATACTGTCTAGAGCTAGAAGCTTCCTATCAAAGTCTTCGCCGAAGATGAAGGTTTTGAACGAGACCCTGTGCCTCTCCACGGCCCATACGGTGATGATGGTAACTATAGAGAGCACTACGCCCAGTACCGCCGTGATCAGGGTGCCCGATCGCGTGGACGCGCAACAACAACACTTCTGGAGGCGCTTCATGATGGCTGGCAAGGTATACTATCAGACTTAAGGGTTGCGTATCACCGCCGCATGTCCTCTGGAAGAAAAAGAAAGAAGTTTAGGTAATGTTATAAACATATTATATTTTGAAGCTACGATAACCGAACGGTGAGGGGTCGGACTGGCCGACTCTTGATCCGGGGAACACGGGTTCGGTCGACTATTGTGGTGAGCTCACTCGTGACACAAGCATTAGCTTAGTACGAGGGGCTGAGCCGGAATACCTAAAGTAGTATTGTTTTATATCCTATTTATCTATTTACGCTCAATGTACAGAGCTACTAATATTAACTTAATTAAATAGCGTATTAACCTAGGCGGTTTCATGGCTGAGAACCTACTTTTTAGTTTGTGTAAACTGACTGACTTGAATGTCAAAATATAAAGATAGAGTTCTCGTGTATCTAAGCGAGTATGATAGTGCGAGTCTGTGTGGTCGTTGTGGTGGGCGTCCGAAACTGCCCAGCCCGTTATGTTCCGGGCCACAAGTTTGGGTTTCGTTTGCTGTTCACACGGCCCGCCATGTGAAACGCTAGATGTTCGGATACATTATCTCGTTAGACTTGTTTGGATTACCAGTCTCGACACGGTCTGTTTTTATGTGTACAAAACGTCTGAGATGTTTATTTGACTTAGAATTATACGAATCAGAGGACTTAGTAATGAGTAGGTACTACATATAATTAGTATCGCCACGTGTGTGTATCAACAAGTGATTATCTTAACTCAATCGTAAAGAATACGTTTAATCCTATGCAACTGTATTACGAGTATGGTAGAGACAGATTATTTTGGTAAATTAGAGCTTTGTAAGCTTCTTTTTTTTAGTATTTCGTTAACCCTAGACATAGTTAATTCTCAATCGCCTTTGAAACGTAATTCAAAAGGAATTATGAATCTATAAAACTTATTTAACAATGTGCGTGAAGAGAAATAGTTGCTTTTAGGCATGTGCCTAACAGGGCACAGTCTTTCATTCTGTAAGGTAATGGACATATTTTAAGACAGTAAAACATCGTCGGTGTGGCCGGTGGGCCGGCATCCGCTCACGCAACGAAACTGCAAGGTGTCGGTTTTAGACTTTGTTGACTGAGTTGACGGTGGGCTATTTTTGCTACGCCATGGGGACACCTCATTATTTTGGTTGAAAATAACGTAGGCAAGATATTTAAAAAATCTGCCAAAATCTCTCGCGTCTCGTGCTGAAAAATTATGTAAGTTATAAAATAATGAGTATTTTTGAGTTCATCATGATTTTACTTTGATGTTGTATCACAAAAATACGATTTCTTGAGAGTTGTATTTGTATACAGTCTTGAGCTAAAAAGTATTCTCAGGTGTGGCATTTGCACTCAAACCTCGGAAATAAAACTTCGGACAATCAACTAATTGTCCGAGGTTTTATGATCACATAGTTTCAACCATATCTTTAAAATATTCTCAAAATGTGCAAACAAGGGCATCCAATAAATTAATTATAACAGTAAATACTCGTAGATACTAAACTGCGCAGTTCAACTCTTTGCATTAATGAATGGCGCAATGAAGGTAGATTAACGACGTCATTGTTTGAGTCCGTCAGCCAGGCAAACTCCTGCGCAGTCATCGGGAACTTGGAGATTAACCTAATTTCCTTGTACTTCCTAACGTTTGAAGTGATAGTAAAATTGTTCTTGGTGTCCTAGCTTAGAAAAAGCGTAGTATTATAGAAGCTGAGAAAATTTGAGAATCGTCATAAATGATGACTTGATTTTTAATTATGAGTATAATCGAGTCTAGTGAATTCAGTCAGCAGTGCACCAAATAACCTTCGAATAAGAATACTAATTAGTTACTTAAATAATGAGTGGACTCTAGGTACCTACCCACTTGACACAAGTCAGGTAAAATATTGTCTCGGTTCCTACAAAAACAGAAAAGTATATGACACCGCGTACCTAAGTAAACAGATATCTTAGGTATCTCAAAATCCTTGCAGCTCTATAAAATATTGATCGATCAATATTCATGCTTCTGATAGTGTTAATAAAGGACACTGTGAATTATTTCTATTTCATTGATACAAAATGTGCTTCCTTACAATTTGCATTTGCAATTGTATCTTGTTCATAAACTAGGGCTACTATTTCTTGCTTCGTTTTAAGACGTTAATGCCTCCATCAAACTATTTTAGCTGCGCTTAAAATTTCGCAATTGTAGTACAGATGATCGAATGCGTCACTCACAGTCCAGAATTAACTGCATTAGCTAATACCGAGCCATACCAAATAGATTATAGGCCAGGTTGCCCTTTGTAAACCCATTAGATGATATGAATGGTTGCAGGGAGTAATATTCGGTTGGTATGAGAAAGAGTACCATAATGAAGTATTAACCAACCAACATTCTTGTAATTCCGACATTCAATTATAAATAAACCAGCTTAAATAAAACCGACCGAGATGATTGGTATCTAGTTCCTTCTAATATTATTCAGTAGGTTCCTTTATTGAACAGTATGTATTACTTGTACCTTTAATGTAATTTGTCCCTTAGACCTTAAACTTATTCAAATTATTTATTGGATAATTTAGCTGTCTCGTTTTAAAACCAATAAATGAAAATGTGTCTTACTAACTCTATCTTTTACCATCTTTTAGCAATTTAGATTAATTTGATATTTATGTACCTGTGTAGTGTGTACCCTGGTATATACATATTTTTGTAATTACCTGATGGATTGTGCCTATTTACAAGTTATGCTACTATGTGTTACACTTATCACCATTTTAGACTCATCAGGTAATTTACCACTACACAGATTGTGACACAGATTTGTTTGTACAGTAGGCAAGTGCAATCAGTGTGGGGCGGGATATGACATCGCGACGGTAACCCTCCGTTATCATTTGACATTGGCCTGACCTAGGGCTGTCATGTGCTCTACTAGCTATATCGGAACTCTACCCAGTGTTGCCCTAGTTTTGTATCCGGGGACCTCATTTTCATAACCTTTCTGAAATCCGCCGATTACCTACCTACGAACCAACTTGCTATGAAGTAGATATGTTACGGCTAAAGATAGGTATGAACATAAACTTAAGATTAGCCGGCTAAACTTAAGTTTATCTTCGAGAAGCAGCTAAAGTTCGATAACATGTTAGTTTGCGTCGTGATATTCCATCTTTAGCCGGCTAATGTGCACATTAGCCAAAACGAAACGGCTAAAAATGTATTCGATGGGCGCGCCAGGCCGGCGGAGGGCTTGAGGGGGCGGTGGGGAGACAACGAATAGCTCCATATTATTTAACAATTGTGACTAGATATTATTTAAGTAATTAACACTGAAGAAGTTTTATTTTGTTTTATTTTGTAATTTTAAATACCTACCTACAGAAGATTCTGTAATGACCAAATGGTTCCTTATTATTTTATTTTAATGATAGGTACCTAGATATTGTTTTAAGTAATTAATATTTTGTTATTGTAATAATTGTAATTTTGAATACCTACATAGGTACATAAAAGTATGTGTAATGAAAGTGATTATTTTTTAATAAAGTTTTCGTGTCCAAGTAGTAAATATTATTACATTGTTTCCTTTTCCATTTCCTTCTACATTTTTAGCCAAGGGCCTGCGGTTACACTTAAGTTTAGCCGGCTAAAGATAGAAGAAACTAACATTAACACCTCGTCGAAGATAAACTTAAGTTTAGCCGGCTAATCTTAAGTTTATGTTCACACCTATCTTTAGCCGTAACATATANTTCGCACCTATCTTTAGCCGTAACAGATATATGAATGGTGATATAAAAGGTTAGGTTAGGTTAGGGAGCAACTAAAAAGTGCTGCTAACCTTTTAAATTCTAGTTCTCTAGGATAGAAATCTCAAGTTTGATCAAGGTTCAGTCTGTTTTTCCGACAGATAAAGGGATATGTAGCTCTGTAAGCTATGTTAGATGTTATTGTAAAATGACACCTGATGTTTTAAATATTAATAACGGTAAGTAGTATTTTTCTTGGCGCTGTTGAAAAGCTCCACTGCCAGAAAAATAATAACGCTTTATTTCATCTTTGCTGCGGTTTTTTGTCGGGTTTGCGGTGATGTTCTATCCAGTCAACCCTGAACCGACCCAGTTCGTGTGCTATGGCCCCATTAGATCAGCAAACGCCCCACCTCTGCACTCTGGCTAAAGGACGCTCCAACCCATTACCAATTTGCGAATACTGGCCGTTTAAAGCTTTTGCTGGTCGTAAACTGAGAAGGCACTAAAGTAGTGTCATTATTGTAATGGCTACAATGACAGCAATTTGTGTTCTATCTACATATTTCATGGACACCGCCTAACCTCACCCACCAGTACTCTATCATGAGTGAGTACTATAAAATGTACATTTTCAATAATATGAATCAATAAATTAAAAAAAACACAAATCCGTTTTAATTCATTTATCATATTATCTGAATTTAATTTTAAACCAAACCAAAATATCACATTAGTTTGAACAGTAGCGTTTAAACATACCCATTTTAACAGATTTGTATCGTAAATTAACTAAATACAAAGGCACGCATTATAAATCAGAATGGGTGGTTATCAGAGTCATAACCCGACGCGTGCGACGCCTTCATATGTGCTGGGGAAACAAACGTGCTTGTTACTAAAACTTTAAGGTTTATTTTTAAATGGCGCGAGATATTATTTGTCGCTGTTGTAATACATATATTAAACATTGTGTAGTGTTCTTTGTTAAAGTATTACGCAACGCTTGATGACTGTGGCAAATGTCATTATGGTAGTACGTCGTAACGTGGGCACAACCGTTATGGTACTATTAATCTTTGTTTATAAAGTCACTAGCCAATACCAGAAGCTGTGTCCTTGTGCCATTTCATTCGTTTTTGTAAGCATTCTTCTGCAAGCAAGTGATGTTAAATCTGGAAAACTAGGCGTTAAGACTAGAAATATAACTGACTCCCTATTGTTCATTAAAATTATTTAATAAGTATAAAAGTTCGTTCGTTTCAGCTAAATGATGTCCACTGCTGGACAAAGG